CATTTGGTCAGATCTGTGCCATATTATACTCCCCACTGTGCCTTGTGTGTAGGTGCTATAAACGTTTATTTAGTACACCAGTGAGGTGACCTCCATAACTCTGAAAATGTGATGTGGTCTAGATTTCTGAGGACTTTCTAAGGCTATTTGTGTTTGTGTCTAATTCTCTGAGGTTCTAGATTCTGGGTCGGTCTAATGTATTTATTACCAAATACATAGGGTTGTCAGATTTGGGGTGGGAGAATCCATATTTCTTCACCAGCATAGTACTTGTAAGAATGCCTTAAGCAGCTTCTAATTAGATTTGTGAGATTGCTCCATCCATGTAACTCCATTCTTTGGTCCATATTATATTTGTTCACATTAATTTTGCTCCTTTTATGGGATAAACCTTTCACGTTCTGGTAAATAAATGAATTGATCAAGTCAGATCAAAATGATGATGAATTTTGATAGAAATCCTGTGTTGTTGAACAGCTTGTTTCTCACCTCTTAGTTATCTTGGGCCTAACAAAGTGCTAAGACAGCACCTGTATGCCTCTCTCCCGATTCAGAGCCAAGTTGCACCACAGCTTATACCAGCTAAGCTTCCTCCAAGTTAGAGGAGTCATGCCAGATATTTATAACAAATTTCACTCATGTTTTCAGAACTGGTGTGTTGGTTGGGGATAGGAAGATAGGGTCAGAGGCAGCCAATGAGGATGGGAACCCAAGTGTAGACAGAGAAAATGTATCTGTTCAGAATCACATTGGGAATCCTACTCCACAATATCCAAAGTATCAACATGTGAAGCCACAATAAGAATTTTGTGATATCTCTTGTTTTCACCCAAATCACCTTCTACAGAGTTCTTCAAAGACTTAACATCTTCCTGATGCCACCAGCATCCGGCTTTTCCAAGCTGTGCCAAAAATGGTTTCCATTTCTCATGGATCTCAGACCATGTTTTGTTGAGTCACCAACATGGTATTCTCTGGGTTCGTGCTCTGAAGCACCGCAAACTGACCAGAGATGCTGCAGACCGTGGGGCTCCCCCTGTATCACTTCTCTGAAGTCTTTCATTGTCTTCATTTCTGCTCATTGGAGTCTAATTTAGAACTTCTGTAGCTTTCCAAAATTCTATGGACTTTCTCCATTTAATCTGTTTTAGCCTTTTAAAATTTCCTTAAATTAACCTTTTGTTACTTTTGCAAAGCTAGCCATTTCCTTGTCTCTATTTTTTCTAAATTTTTCCTAATAGCCTTGATCTTAAACACTGTTCATTTTCCTTTGGTATTTATTTATGTCATGGAGATAAATGTATGTGAAAGCTTTTGATAAACTAGACAGCGTACATGTGTAAGTCATAGAGATTGACAAGGGACCACTGTGCCTCCTTTCGTTCTTTCCGCTCCTTCCCAGCCTAAAATATTTTTCTGTGGAGGAGGACATATTGTAGAAAAACACTTTCAAGTGCCTACTGTGTCCAATAATAAATAAAGCACATGCATACATACATGCATACCTAGGCTTAGGGTTTCAGTATACTAAAGTTGATAAGACATGTACATAAATCAGTGCCATGAGAAATGCCCTGTGAATGGTGAGCTGAAGGGTGTGGAATCTCAGGAAAAGGTTTCTTCTGGCTGTGAGCTGTTATTATCACATGGATAGGGTAATGTTTGACAGAGCTAGAAAGACTGAGTTTGTCAGATTTAGTAAATAGGGCAAGTTTAAAGTAGGTACACTGTAGGGGTCTTCACTGCCAGAGCAAGGAGCTTAACTTTTATTCAGTTAAGTACCAGAGAGCCACTGACGTGATCAAGATATTATCTGTCTGGCAGTATTGTGTAATTTCAACTGAAAAAATTACCTTGTTGATAGTCTTTTGGACACCTTGCTTTTGTATAAAGCAAAGGTATGTTTATAAAGTGAATTATAAAGTGGCTTCAACACTAGCCTATTGAAAAAAGGTGGTCAAAAAATTATTTCTAGATGAAATTAGATCCAGTAAAATACGTTGCTTAGTTAAGCTATAACCAATATTTAAAGTAGAATAAAATGCTACTTTTTGTGCTTTTTAAAATTGTTTTTATGAATTTTAGTGTCGATTGGTCAGCCATTCTACTTAATTCCTCCATCTGCTGCAATGCAGTCTTCCATTTTCTTTTTTCTCCCTTTGCATGAGTTAAGGGGCTGGTTAAGACATATTTTTTTCCACTTGGGTAGAATGAATAGTTATTATGAAAAGAGCTTTTGATGAATAGCCCTCCTGGACATGTTCTTAATTTTGGTAAAGAAGCATATAACCCTATGAAATATTATTTCTCTGCTTTCTCCTTTAGAAGGAAAAAAGGTGCAGCTTACCCACGGGGTTGTGAGGATCACCTATACAAACAAGTGCTCGGAGGTTGTAGTTCCGGGTGGTTCCATAGGAGACTTTGAACTCACCTGTTCCCACACATTGAGTCCAGCTACAAGGGAACAATTTCCTCTTAAAAAACAAAGGCTGGCTTAGTGACAACTACACATGGGCAAACCAGAAGAAAAACAGGTTGAAGCACATAGAAGAGTCTGGGACGGAATCCCCTCATAAAGCCCACTCCTGGCACAGTGACGTACAACTGGGAAGGAACTCAAAACCTGGAGCTTCTTTGTGAGGAGCACTGGGCTCAAACTCACATTAGGCATAACAACTTTTAAGACATACACTTGAGAGACAACTCCCCAAAACATACATCTGAAAACCAACGGGCCTGTGTTCCAAGACCCACAAGACTAAAGTGATCTGAGAAACTGCTCTTCTAGGACTCACGTGCTCAGACTCACCCATCCAAGTGCCCAGAGGCAGCTGATAGCACCCAGATTGAAAGTGAAGGAGACTCACTTGCTTATATTAAAACATTGGCCACAGGGGCAATCATCTAACTCGATACATATCTAGGAGCCTGCTGGAACATTCCAGAGAGGGAAACAGGCACCATCTTTGTATTCTTCCTTAACTGTGCTTCAGAGCACAGTATCTCTCATAAGGGAGCTTTTACATGCATCTGGTATCCTGATTTTTGTGGCTGCCACTCAGGGTATTCCTTTGGATCACCTGTCTCTGGACGCCAGGGAGCTTACATTCCTGGTCTCATGGGACTGTAATATTTGGTGTCACCCAAAAAGGAGCTCATACCCAGTCTGGTGCCCCAATCTGTATATACGGCTACAAGAAAAGAAGAAAGAAACAGAGGAACCACAAAAACAGCCAGAAAACAATAAAATGGCAATAAGCATATACCTATCCATAATTACCTTAAGTCCATGTAAACGGACTAAATTCTCCAATCAAAAGACATAGAGTGGCTGAACAGATAAAAAGACAATACCTATCTGTATACTGACTACAAGATACTCACTATAGATGTAAGGACACACAAAACTGAAAGTTAAGGGATGGAAAAACATTTCATGCAAATGGAAATCAAAAGAAAGTTGGAGTAGTTATACTTCTAGCAGATAAAATAGACTTTACAACAAAGACTAATAAGAGATAAAGAGGGGCATTACATAATGATAAAAGGGTCAGTCCAACAAGAAGATGTAACACTAAATATTTAGGCAACCAGCATAGGAGCACCTAAGTATATA